AAAGAAAGAAAGAAAGAAAGAAGAAGAAAAAAGAACAGAAGAGAAGGAGAGAGAGAGAGAGAGAGAGAGAAAGAGCGAGAGAGAGTGGGGCAAGGAAAAGAGGAAAAGGGACCGGAAGAAAGGGAAATTTCGGCCAAGTATATCACGTGTGGATATCGTATCGAAACGAGTGTTTTCTTTTTGGTGAATTTCTTCCAATTCTTCTGTTCGTGTGCATCCCTGTCCGACGTGGTGTCGCTCGCGCGAAATCGAAACGACGAATCCGCGGATTGGACGAGAGAAAGAGAGAGGGAGAGAGAGACAGAGAGAAAGATCTCTCTCTCTCCTCTCGTCGTGGCCATCGGCCGTCTAATTTTAAGTGTTAGATAATGCACACCGGTGCGCACCGGTGCGCTCCGTTACTAAAACGGTACAGCGGCGGCGATGCACACGCTCGGCCAACGCGCACGCTCGTTCACGCGCTAGCATTGGCGTGGAAACACGCTTGCTCGCGCGCCACCGCCTTGCCCCGCCAAAACAGGCCGGACGCGAACAGGAGCGTGTGGTGAAAGGTGCACGGTGGTGATGAGTCTACCAGCCCCTCCCCCCTCCCCCTACGAGTCTTCCCCGATTCCCCCTCGAACCAATTCGGGGGATTCGTAGCATCGAAGGGGAAGTTTTTCAAATCGAGAATAGGGGTTCACCCTATTATTTGTTATTATTCTGCGTCCACGCGCAGATATTCCCTACTTCCTTCGGTTTAAACGGAGAATTCGCGAAATCTTTTCACCACCGGGGAAATACGCTCCAATACGTGGTTTTTCCATCACCGCCGTGATCTCTCATCTCCACGCCTCTGCCTCTACGTTCTTCTCTCCGTTTTTCTATCCGTTCTGAAAAGCTTACGCGCTCACCAGCTTTCTCCTTCTTCTGTATCGCTTCGCCACACTTTAACTACCACCGATCGCGTCGGAATCGCGTCTTGTTTCTTCATCTCTGCTTCGGTGTGCGCTTTAACAATTGCGATTCATCCTCGTCCCTTCTCTTCACGCACGATTTTCGCTCTTCTCTTCTCTCTTTCTCTTTCTTTCCCCCGAACGTTTCCCTCTTCCTCTCCCGATTCACCTCTTTCTTTCTTCTTTCTTTCTTCTTTCTTTCTTCCCGTTTTTCCTTCTATCCCTTCCTCCTTCTCTTCGAAGAATCTTGCGCTTCGCACATACTCTCTCTCTCTCTCTCTCTCTCTCTTCTCTCCTCTCCCACAGTTTCCCTCCTCTGTTCCTCCGCGTTCGCGCAGCTTCCACTCCTTCTCTCTCCGCGTTTCTCACGTTCCGTCCTTCGATCCCACTATCTTCGTCTGTCTCTCCGTGCTCTAATATGGCCGGCCGGTGTCCAATTACCCGCTCCTCGTTCCTCGCTACAGTTTTTCCACTCTCTTCCACGCCGCGGCAACGGAAGAAAAGCGTCCTCATCAAGCGTCGCGACGCCCTCCCATTTTCCGCTTTTTTCCTCCGTGTCGCCCCCCTTCTCCTTCCCTTCCTTTTCGCGAGTTTCTTCCATCAGGATTTTATTCGCCCTTTCCTTTTTCCGCGCGATCGTTGCGGATTCGTCTCCACGCGGAATCGATCCGGCGTGCGATTTAAATTGGGAAACCGTGCCCGTTTGCACGGCCCGTTTCGAGAGAGAAAGAAAGAGAGAGAGAGAGAGAGAGAGAGATTAAAAATATATGGGAGTGGAGTAAGGATGGCGAGTAAGAGGATCGTGGAGGGGGGGGCGAGACGGGATTAAAGTTGAGAGAAAGAAAGGGAGAAGTGGATTATCCCCACGTGGCGATACTTCTTCTTCCCGCTAAGGAAATTGTTGATTTCCGGATTACCGTTAATTCCCCGGCAAAGTGGATCCAGTAGCACGTTCTCCGATAATCTCGCGATATTTCGAATCGTGTACACACGAGGGTATTAATTATTACGTATTCGTAAGAAGGATCTTTCTAAGAAGGATACATTTTATAGGGGCGGGACAAGGATACGCGACACAATGCTTTCTTTCTTTTCGAATCATAAACAATTTTTACACGTACAATTTTTGTTACCTCGTCTCCGCATACGAATCGAGGCTTACGCACGAATACCCACGTTGGAACCCTGTCCACGCTCACTTCCCTTTCTCGTATTTTTTAATCGTGGGAAAAGTATATAATGCTCGATCAGGGATTTATTTCGTCCGCGCCGATACGATCTGCTCTCTCGCCGCGCCACTCTTCTTCTCGCACGCGTGTTCAAAAACTTGTCTCCAAAAACTTTCCGCTTGTTTAAAACGAAATGGGGAGAACGGTGCTGGAGAAGGAATACACTGTCACACGTCCCTCTGTGTGTTTCCCAATTTTCTCGCGTGCCGAATTACCACGCGACTACATCGTGATTCGCGCCACGTGGTCATCGTTTAACAGTGGTGATTTGATTTCCAGCTGTCAAAGCGCCGGATATTGGTGAACGAACGAGTGGGTACCGCTCGGGGCCCCCATAGAGAGGGCCCCCAACCGGAAGAGGCCGCCGAAAGGCGGTCCATCTGTCAGGTAAGCGAAACGAATCTAATTTCTCTGAACGTAATTCACCCGTTCTTCTTCCTGTTTCGATTCCTGCGACGATTGTGCAATTAAAAATTGAATGGAAAAACATTTACCCAACTAAAATGGAATTTTACCCAACTTTTAACTCGAGTGTCTGCACATCCGATGAATATCAGATTGCTCGTCGAATTCTCGCATCCTCTCTCGTTCCCCCCGGATGATCGATGCTGCGAAAATTTTCAAGATAATTGATGACTCGTCTGATCTCGCGTTAAACCCTTATCTAGACACGAAGAAACGTTCCAAAGTTCGATAATGATATTATTCGGCCGACTTTCGTCAAGTTAGTTAAAACGAGGCCGGCGAACGAACGAATCCTCCGATCCTATCGATCTTCGTCTTCCGAGGTATTAAATTTTCGTAATCGAATCGACCGATTTCCAGTCCACGACACTATTTTACCTCTCGTTTCTTCATTTCGAACATTTTCCGCGAAACGAGAGAGGATGTGAGATGATTGTTTCGACCGGACGATGATCGTTCGTCCCTCCATTTATTATCTTGAAAAATTATTAAAAGTAGTTGGGGGTCTCGGGAAGGGTCTGGTGGGCATCGGTTTTGAAAAAAAAAAAAAAAAAAAAGAAAAAAGCATTATCGGAAAGTATCGTTGGACCGGCGTGTAAGAAAAAAAAAAAAAAAAATAAGAAAACGCGGTGAAAACGTGATGTTTTTCATACGGATTCGATTATCTCGTGTTCAGGAAATTTGCGTTCTTTCAAACGTGGCGGACGATAAATCCGTTTAAAACCGAGGTTGACAATATTTTCCACGCGTTTAAGCGAGCCGCGCGAGCCATTCTGTTCGACGCTTTTTCCGTTGAAATAACATTTCACCCCCAAGTTCCGACCCGCTTGATTAATCTGCACGTTACAACCACCGCCCCCGCAATTTGAGAAATCATCGTACAGTTACAAGTTTCGAGCGTGCATATCGATTTTCGATACCGTACCGCCACTGCTTGCACACTGTTTCTTTGTTTCAACTTTTCGCTCGACGAGGGTGGGAAGCGAGACGAGTCCGAAATGTCTCTTAAAACGTACAAATGTTGATAATTATCTCGATATCCGAATTCGAAAAAATTTAAATTCCCTTATTTTCCTTTCATCGTGCGAAACTTGAGGAAATACAATTTCTTACAATTTCTAATTTCTCTTTCAAATCGAAAAGTTCGAGCCAAGTATATATATATATATATTTTTGTTTTCTTCTATTTACCAGGACGGCTATTCGATTAAAACGTGCTAATTAATTTTCTTTCGTTTCGTAATCTTCCTCCTCTTCTTCTTCTTCTTCTTCTTCTTTCTTTCTCGACCAACGAGAAAGCTCGGCGAAACGAAATAGCTCTAATTACTTCTTTTCACGGGCGTGCATTTAAATCCCTTCATCGCGAAAAAAACTGTAATTTTCAGAGAAACTTGCCACGTAACTCGACACCCGTGAAAAAGTCCACCAAGGCGTACCAAAAAAATTGATTTTCACCGGTGGTGGTGCTCCGTCGCTTAATGAATCGACGAGTTTCGAGCGCAGTTTCGAGCGATAAGTTCGGGAAAAAACTTTGCTGGCTTCCGCCAAGTAGCGGGACAATTTTTGTTTTGCCGTCGGGGCGTAAAAGGTAAAAGTAAAAGAAGGAGAGGAGAGTAAAGAGGAAGGGAAGGGAAGAAAAAAGAAACTACGGAGAAATTTATGGTTCGAGGGCCAAGCCTCGAGAGTTGAATTTGAATGTCGCCATTAACGAAACAGCTGACAAAAAGCACACGCGAAAAGTTGCGTTTCGAGCAAACTTATCCCCCCCAAATTAGCGCGTTTAAACGTTCCACTGTCCCATTTTGCTAATTAATTCTCCTTTTTTTTTTCTTTCTTTCTTTTCGGTTCTACCACGTTGCTACCCTGGATTTCCGCCCTTAATTCGAATCCGTTCTTGCTTAGAAACGATTAAAAACAAAAGAAAAAAAGGAAATTTAAAGACAACTGTCCCAACCATCCTCGATCTAAAGTTATTTGCTCGAACAATCGCTCAACGTCGATCGATTCTGATGCAAAAACGTTCCGTCCCGGAAAATGCAGCCGAGCGTGCAGAGTATAAATTCGCTCGGAGAGGGTGTTTCAAAGACAAACGTCATCCCCGGCCGAGGGGGATCTACAATTCGAATTTAAACATTCGTTACACGTGTACGTACATTCGTTACCCGTGACCCAGTCCGCTTTATATGAAGCCAATCCTCTCGATAAGAATGAACGTTCTCAACTGTTGATAATCGAACCGATCCATCAAAAGTCACGTATGATCGCTGCCTCTCCGCGAGAACAAAATTCCTCCTTCCCCCTTGCGTTTGAATTATCCTTCGAATTAAGTTTCCACCGATCCGATATCTCCTCTTGCGCCTCCTCTCCTTTCGTTCCCCCTTCGTTTCGATCGTTTTCCACGAAAAGGAAAATTGCATCCTTCCACGAGTTATTATTCTATTCAATCGCCATCGAATCCTCGATATTCGATTCGTATCAAAGTTTATAGTATATCGGCAAGTGGAGTTATCACGATAAATAAGGTTTTCATTTAACTCCCCCCCCCCCATTTTTCAAGACTTATATAATATAATACCTCCCGAATATACATTGACCTTGGCTTTGATCAGTCGTAATGCGTCGCCTGATTAAATTTCCAGCTCCATTAATTCCAGCCTCCTCTAAGAATTCGAGTTTATTACGTTCAATTTATTATACGTTGAAATATTAACAAAGGATAATGGACGCTCGTCAAATTCGTTACGTCACGTTTCGATCCTCGGTTGTAAATCATCCCCCCCGACAAAAAGGAGGGGGATGGAGGAGCAAAAGTCGATTCGAAAAGGAAGAAAAATAGATTCCTTGTATTCGGTGTGGTGCTCGCGCGGTGGACATGTGCGACGCATTCGTACAGATGAAAATCCATTTTTCATCAAGGAAAAACACACCGGTTTTCGATGAATCTTCGACCGGTTCTCCTCTCCCGGCCATAATATTCCGCGTGCAAAATTCGTTTTCCATTTAATTTTCTTGCCCGAGGAGTATTGGGAATCGAGAAGAAAAAGAAGAAAAAGATGGTTGCTTTAATAACAACGCGAAACTTCGAAATACAATCCATTTTTGAATATTAATCACGACTCTCGATAGGAACGTGCGTTTTTCCAAGTCTCTTTACGAAACGAGCTTCGACGAGAAAGAATTTCGAGCGTTTCCTTTTGATCGTCGTCGTGATCAGAGGAGCAAGGAGCGTTCTCCGTTCGACAAAACTGAATTCCTCCATTTGGTTGTTAATCCAAATTTCGTCTAATTTAAATCGTTGAAGAATCTCGTTTAATAAACGAAGCTTTCTCGCGTATTTCCTCCGTTGGATCCTCGACGAGCAACCACCGCTTCTTCCGTCGAAACCTCTATTCTCGTATCGGCTTTCTCCTTCTTTTTTCGACGACGACTCAATTTGCTGAGATTCTCGACCGATCGAGAGAATCGCGAAGATGAAAAGGAATCGCGGATGGACGGTGAGAGGGATCGCGAGAAAATCGGTCAAAATCTTCCTCTTACGTTCCTCTTGCGGGAGAGGAGAACGCGCCGTTCCGTTTGTGATGGAAATTTGACGAATATTGAACGCTACGCCGCTAGAATCGCGTAAATGTTATGACTCTTTCGTTTCGAAGGAAGGAGGGGATAATAGATTGTATCTAAGCCGATGTTGATAAACAGAGTTCGACGGCGAGGTTAATATTTCACGTGATATATCGACGACGATGTATGGATTAATTTGGCCGTGAGAAAATAGAAATTTTTGTTTTACACAGAAATAAATAAAAATTTCTATTATCGATCTATTTCGATGAACATTTCTCGCGTGCGTAAACAATTCTCGACGTCGAAAAGAAGAGGAAGAGGAGGATAGAATAGAAAACGATGATTTTCCACCACTCTTCCCCCTCCTCCGATGACGCAATCATCGAAATTGCACGTTGCCCTTATCATTCTTATCCTCTCTATTTAATCACTCGGTTTCGTCGCTCGTTCGTATCCGTTTAATAATTAACTCGATGCATTTCGTTCTCTCTATATCACGAATGAGAATTAATTATTTCAATCGAAGAAATAATTAAACGTAATCATTTGTGCGCCATTCCCGATCGATAAATAAATTGGCACGACGTACAAATACGATTAAAAACGGTGACACGCGTACGATGTCTGTGTTAAAAGGAACGAAAGAGAAGAAGAAAAAGAAGAGGAGGAGGAGGAGGAGGAAGGGAAAAAAGAAACTGAAACGAAAAGACGAAATAATATCGCTTCTAAATAATAATATCTCGGCTTGGATTATCCACACTTTTCGCGGGATGAAAAGTTGTTCCCCTTTCTTGCGCGACATTTATTACGTGCCTAGCTGCACTTTGCACCTCGTTAGTCCGCGATGCACCCTTTTCACTCGTCCAACCCCTCTCCCCCACTGCTCGCGGTGCTTTCACGCGCGTGCAATGCCGAGAGAAAAAGAGGGGAGGGAAGAAGAGGGAGCAAGAAGCGAGGCGTTGAAAGAGCGTTAGAAAAAAAAAAAAAAGAAAAAAAAAGGCGAATGCCTCGTATCCACCTTGTATGCGGAGTGATCCAATTTTGGGCGGGCTGGCCGATTCAAACTGCCCGTTATCCGTTTGGATAACATCCATTTGGCAAACGCGCCGCGCCAATGGGACCCCCTTGACTCGAATTTAAATTTTAAAAAAAATTCGAAATGTTGTCGTGAAAAATTTAAATTCAACTTGGATAAAAATTCAAATTTATCTTCCGCTCGAGGACTCGAAAATTTTTAAATTTCAAATCGCAACTTCCGTTTGAAAACCGTTTTCCCCTACAATCGAAACCCGAGACAGAGAGATCTTTTTAACGAACGAGCACGCATGCACGAATTCTCGCGAAATACAGCGTTAAAC